ATTTTCCACTAATTTGCAAATATTTAAATTTTTAATTATACACATTTATTTGATTTTGTAATAATACATTTATATTTGTATAAAAAAAATTTAATCTAAATTTTTAATTTAATAAAAATTTTTAAATATTTTTATTTTACAATTTTTATTACAAATATAAATGTATTATTACAAAATCAAATTAATGTGTATATTTAAAAATTTAAATATTTGCAAATTAGTGAAAAATAATTAGCGAGGCACTTTCTAGAGAGGCACCGTGCCGCGACAGATTAGTCATTCTCTGATAATAGGTTCATTGCAAATGTTGAACATGATATAAGTGAGATTAAATGTTAAGTTATAATTAAAACATTTCAAGAAGAGTGCGCAACACTAATTTAACAAAAATTATTTTAAAAATTATTTTGACCAGTAAATAAGTAAAAATTAATTGTAAAAATAAACGGCTGTTCTTGTGTCGTCCAGTAATTTATCTGTAATAAATTCCAACAATGTTTACCAGGTAAAATATATTCAATTGCAGTTTATAAGTTTTTTATTATTTGTTAACGCATAGCGACCCAGGGGGAAAATGCATCCCCCTCCATTAAATTGAGGGATGTGGCAAAACATATAGTCCACCTATTGAGTCGATGGTAATTTTTGACTCACCTTGGTATATTTGACTTTTAATCAATCAAGACATTGTAAAATTATTGATCAGCCAATACTCATCAGTAGTATAAAAATTAATTGTAATATGAATGTCAATTGGCCCACATGTTACATGTGGACAAATTAGAAATGAGTTAAGACACACAAGCAATTGAATCAAACATTAAATTAGCACATTTGTTTGCCAAATATTTTGTAATTTTATTAATTATTATAATTATTAATTCATATAATTGCTAGGTACTTAGATATATTAGTGTAATTAATAATATTTTAATTTACATTGTCAAATTATTTGAAATATGACGGGTATATATGATACCACCATCAATGACTAAATTGGCCCCGGTGATATACTTGGCATCAGATGACGATAAAAACACAGCCCCTTTGGCCACATCCAAGGGTACACCCAAATGACCCAACGGTGCCTTTTTCTCCATCAGCGCCAACACTGGGTTACCGAGATTTGTACCGTCGGGTGTAATCGCACCAATACTATTACCATGGTGATTATTAATAAAAAATTAGATACCATTAATACTTTTATAATTATTCAGATAAATGTCTAATTACTTGATAGTATTCACTCGCACTCCCTTTGCGCCCAACTCGAGGGCTAGATTTTTAACCATATGTTGAACGCCAGCTTTGGCGGTACTATAGGCCAGTTCCACAGCAACCTAGGTAATAATTTTTACTTATTATTAAGTAAATACGATTAGACAATATGTGTATTATATACCGGTGCGACGCCGGCAATGGTGGCGACAACAGTGGCGGAACCCCTGGCCTTCTCGAGCAAAGGGTAGGTCAGGTGAAAGAGCTCAGCGGTGGCCCTGAGATCGGCCCGTAATGTCTGGTCCCACACATCCATTAGGTTTGGGTCCGTAATGTTCAACAGGGGATAACTGTTGGCAAATGTGATCATTGCGTCCAATCGACCGAATTTGTACACAATTTCGCCCACCAGTCGCCCAATATCTGCGGTTTTGGTCAAATCGGCCACAACTCGCAACGGCTGTAATTAATAAATAAACATAGTATTAAAATATATGCAATAATGTTAGTGCAATATATATGTAATTGGAAATGCGGTGACAAATTTTAACATATTTACTAAGTTAATTTAACATGTTTTTTACCTGATTGCTACGTGTGGGAGATTGTTGTTGTGCAAGTTGTGCTATTTCTGCCAAATGGGTGGCATTGGTTCCGGTGATGACCAAATTGGCGCCGAGTATTGAAAACAATTTGATAGTACCCTCGGCCAGACCCGAGTTGGACACAGTGATCAAAACCACTTTACCAGTGAAATCACGCGAGTTTTTTACTTGGTAATATTCGGCATCATTATCGGTGGTATCTATTTTTTGTAAAAAAAACATTATTATAATTAATTTTGTAAACATTTATTTGTAACGAGTTTAATGATCTAGTTAATAATAACAATAATTATTTTATACATACGTGAGGGCAACTCTATGGGCAAGTGTTGGGGCAACTGATTACTAAACCCGTTAAACAAATTGTCGGCCAAACGAGTTTTGGTGTCCTCTACCCGACCGGCAAAATCTAGTCCTCTATGAACGGCCTGATTGGCACTACCTAGTACTTTTTGAATAATATTATCTTTACCCAGCATTTTACCGGCAATACCATCAGCCAGGTCAGTTTGAATGTCCGCATGTTTTCCCGCAAAATCCAGGCCTTGATGTACGGCTTGATTAGCACCGGTAAGCGTATTGTGGACGAGTCCGCCCATCAGTCCAAATGGGTTGAGTCCGGCCGATGCTAAGCATACCAATGCTGCGATTGTTCCGAGTTTGAGCATGGTTATTTATCTTTGTTTTAAAATTTTTGGGTATTTTCATGTAATAGTTTACTATTAAATGAATTAATTTTGAAAATGAATATTTTGCTGTATTTATACTTTTTTAATTGTTATATTAATATAAGCATGGCATATTGCTTCAAAATATACTATAGTGTACCAGATGCTAATGATAATTAATTATGTTGTGTAATTTGTTGTTAATTAAAATTATGTAGTATATGATTAATTATTTGCACTTGGTGAATATTAGGGCATATTTAGTAAATTATTATTTTTAATTCTTTTAATGCCCTAAATGTTAATAAATAATAATACCTACCAATACGGTATATTTGATTACATTGTAAATACATTTTGGCCAAGTGTTTTGTAGCTACTGTAAATTACTTTATTAATAAAAATATTATTAAAAATTATTTGTTTTATTATTGTGGTAAAATCATAAAATCTATTTTATATAATATATTTTTACTATTTGACTATATCAAATAGTTTACAAAAATTTAAAAAATAATCTTATGTCTAATGTAAGAATTTTTAATGATTTTTAAATATTTTATATAATTTGTATAATTTGTATAATTTATATTAATCCATGAAATATATTTACAGTTTATTTTTAAAAATAATGATATAATATAAGTTTAACTAATTTATTCATAAAAATTTTTTTACTAAAATTAATGTATTAAACATATAATTTGGTCACACATAATTTAATATTACCAAAAAATCTAAAAATCGTTATAATGGATCTGACAACTAAATGCAAATATACAAAAAATAATATAATTATGATATAAAATTTCTATATTAAAATAATTTTAAAAAAATATATAATATAAACAGTAAATTTATTTAATTGTAAAATAAATTATATAATCTACTATGGTAATAAATATAAATTGGGATATCTGGGCTTTGGGAATATTTTATCAATTTACTTTGTTGGATTTACTATGTATAATATTTAAATAATTATAATTTATTATATAAACTGTAAATCAATCTAATATTTGAATTAATTATAGAATTTATTATGATAGTAAATATAAATTGGGATATATAGGCACTCGGATAATCTTATATTTTATATATTAAAATTTAAGTTAGTATATCTAAAAAATACTATTAAACAAAATCAATATTGCACATATAATTATACTTGCAGACAATTTTTATTACATATTATACTTTAAATATTTTAATAATACTTTTTAATCATTTTAAATAAAATTATTAATTTTACAATTTAATGTAATGTAAAAATTAGTTTTACATCATTGCTTATAATTTTAAAAATGCCCTAACAAATAACATAATACAAAATAATTAATTATAATCTATTAATTAATCAGAAAGTTCATTGCAGGTGTTAAACATGCTACTTTTAGTAATATTAATTAGCGCATGTTATATCAAAACTATATAAATACAAAATAAAAACCCTACCAAATCAATTGAGTTTGAAAATCAAATCAAACCTATAAAACTAACATGATATTCCAAACACTATTAACCGTGTTGGCACTTTGCACCGGCATGTGCGCAGCATGGACAAAATATGACTACCCCGTTGAGGACTACCTGGCATCGGCACAACATGGCAAAAACTTTACCGGTAAAGTAGTACTAGTGACCGGCTCGAGCACAGGCATCGGTGAGGGTATTGCCAAACTGTTTGCACTATTGGGCGCCCGAGTGGTGGTCACCGGTAGAAACGTATCGCGCATACAGAGTGTCGCCCAAGACGTCCAACAACTGTCGCCGCAAAAGCTTATGGTATGTTCACAAATAACACCTAACCATAAATAATGTTAACCTTAATTATTTATATCGATAGCCCCTTCAAGTTGTAGCAGATCTTAGAGTTGACGCCGATATTGAACGCTTGGTAAAAACCACGATTGATGCATATGGTCGATTAGATGTGTTGGTAAACAACGCGGGTATTTACCCCGTAGACACTATCCGTGATGACAACTTTATGTCACATTGTGACGACGTATTTCAGACTAACTTGCGCCCGATGGTTAAGCTGGTCAATCTAGCGTCGCCTTATTTGCAAAAGTCTAAAGGCAATGTGATTGATATTTCGAGTGTGGCCGGAATTGATCCTGTTAGTATTGGTTTTATAATTTATCTAAATATTTAAATCTTGTAAATTTAAATGGGCTAATGTAATAATATTATTATGTAACATTATTATTAGCCTGCTACCCAACTGGCTTATGGTACATCAAAGGCGACAGTCATGCAATTGTCCAGGGTATTAGCATTGGAATTGGGACCGCTTGGCATTCGCGTCAATACTATCAAGTAATAACACAAATCAAACATGATCATTAATGATCAATACGTTTAATGTCTAATTAAATTAAATTACCTTAACATTATAGTCCCGGAGCTGTCGCTGTCCAGCATATTGTCGAGGAGTTTGCCGGTGCGCTCGATGTGGTCGTACCGCAAACACCTCTACGCCGTTACGCGTTGCCCCTGGATATTGCCAAAGCTGCCGTGTTTCTAGCTAGTGACGATGCTGCTTTTATTACCGGCACTAATATTCTGGTTGATGGCGGACTCGAATGGAACTATCCTGGTTATTTTAACTAATTAATTATTGTCATTTAGTGATGTATGTTTAATTATTGTTAATAAAATTATTATTGATTCATACAAAATTTGATGTATATTATATTTGATTTTTTATTAATAAATTAACTAAATTAAAAATATATTTAATGCACTTTTATTTAAATTGACTAAAATTATAAACTGTAATTAAGCCTTTAATTGATTATAGTTGCATATCTAAATAATATGTATTAAATTATTTTGGTATGGATCTACAATATTTAACATTGTATTCTAAATACTATTTTTAAATATTGAAATATTTTATTTATTTATACAAAGTATTCAATAACTTTTGATAAAATTTACAAAATATTAATACGTTTAAATAGTATAGTAAAATAATTTAATACACTAGCTATTTCATATTTAAATCATTTTAAAATAATATATTATTATTATTATTAAAACACAATGTTTTATTACTACATTATTTAATTACAACAAAATAATGATTCTAATGATTGTAAGATTTTATAAAAATTATCATTTTTATCTTATTTAAATCTAACCTTAGTCGTTTTATCCAGTTGCTCAAACTATTATCTTAATATTATAAATGTCAATTCAATTATATTTAAATAATGTATTAACAGTTGTTAACAAAAGTTCTGTTATTATATATCAAATATATTTTCAATTTTTAGCGAAAATTCAGGTTTTTATACATTATATCTTAATTTATCATATTTACATAAATTAATGTAACTGTATTACATTAACGATAACATTCTCCGGTATTAAGTATTGTTGGTATTTGATAAATGGTTTAATTACATATTTATTTAGTTGTATATAATATAAATTGTTTTTATCAATGTCTACAGTGTTATACTAGATAATAAGCAATTTGTACAATTATCTAAATACATAAAAACTAAACACATGACCAGTGGGTCATCGTTGTATAACATAATTTTTTGACCATGAATTTATGTATTGCAAATAATTTGCTTATATTGGCAGTTTATTGTTTTAAGCAATAATTCCGACAAATTAACATTAAATACAATTTGAATTGTTTGAAATAAAGCGAAAATATATTTAAATTAAATAGAATTATAGCGAAAATTGTAAGCAGCATGTCATGTGCAAAAACAATAACAATTAATGCAGCTATAATACATAGTAATATAAAAATTTAATTTAACAATATTATTATTATTAGAAATCAAAATTATAACTTTTATCAGGCTTTACAGCAACAAAATTTAAACTTATGCAAATGTTCGTTTGTTTCCAAAATACTATTATATTTAATATGAAATATTATACCTTATGTCATATTATTACACAATAACAGTTTATACATATTAATATCTCTCTCTTTCACTCTCTCCGATTGTGATGATTATGACCATGAGTGGGATAAATTAGAGAAAAAGTAATTTTACTACGACGTGGTTAGTATACTTTAGGCCTTTAAGGCCTAAATATATCAGTCAAGATTATGACCATCTTACAACAAAAATCTCTAGAGTTAAATATAACATTTAATGTTACTTATATGATTATATTTAACAATTGTAAATTAATGTTAATTAAACTAATAAAATATACTGTTATTGTTGTAATTATTTATCTTGGAATTGACCCAAATCCTGTTAATTTTATTGTAAATCTAAATTAAAATTTATTAAAAACTAATACTATTTTCACAATAATATATTACAGATAAAAATGTTTGGTACTTTCTAAGGGCACCATTTGATATTGATAAATTTGTCATTTAATTTAGTTAATTATTTATAATAATAACAATTTATTTTAAAATTGGTTGTGTTTAACATGCTGTTTTTTAAATTAAATTTATTTTGTAATTGATCTGATTTTAAAACATATTTTAATATTATTTTATCAACTGTATTGTCTTCTCATAAATCCATTTAGATTAATTAAACTACTATTAACAAATTATATTTGGGTAGTTACCAACATCCCGATTATTCATTATAGTTAAATAAATTTTCTTGAAAACATAATTTTTGTTTTATTTATAACTTCATTATTAAGATTTATAAATATTTCAATAACTAATTAGATTGATAGAATAAAAACTTAAAAATAGACCTTTTTTGTTTATATGCATTATAGGCGATTGTAATTTAGATGTATCATTGTATCAGTATATTAAAATGTTTAAAAATAAATAAATAAATGAAAAGTACAATCGATATATATTTTGTGTTAAAATTACCAAAATAGAAAACATAAAATGAATATAGATTAATTAATAGAAAATTACTCTAAATTTTAATGATTTTAATTATTGTAAGATTTTTATAAAAATTATAAATTTTATTATATTTGAATATAACGTTAGTCATTTATTATCTATTATTTAATGCATGTTAAACCAAAATTATTAATTTACCTTTGAGCGGATTCTGACAATATTATTATAATATTGAATAAATTAGTACAATTAAATTTGCATTATATATTAACAGTTTTTAACATGAGATCTGTTTATCACACATCACCTATATTTTTAATTTTTGAAAATAAAAATGCAAACAGTTTTATACGTTATTTTTTAAGCAGATTGTTATTAATAAATGTAACTGTATTTTTAAATTAACTCAATTATAGTGACTAACATTATCTGGCATTAGTTATTGTTGGAATTTAGTAAACAAAATGTAAATTGTTTTTTAATTAAATAATTTGTACAATTATCTAAAATATATATATTTAAATTAAATTAAATTATCATGAACATTTTGATCAGCTTGTCATGTTCAAACATTAACAATTATTAAATATTGTATATGGTAATATAAAAATTAAATTTTAAAATATTATCATTATTTAATTGAGATTTATTTAATTGAGTAACCTAGAGTTAAATATAACATACTTAATTAAACTAATAAAATTTGCTGTTATTTTTGTAATTATTGATCTTAGCAATTTATAAATTCTGAAAATTCTATTGTATGTGTAAATTAAAATTTATTAAAAACTTATAAAATAACGAAAATGCAACGAAATGACTCGTGCCTTATAACACACACTTTGGTCATGATGACTTTTTACAACAAAATCCCTAGAGTTAATATACGAAACATTTAATGTTTCTTATATAATTATAATTAAAAACTGTAATTTAATCTTGATTAAACAAATAAAATATACTGTTATTGTTATAATTATTTATCTTGGAAGAGTTGCAAAGGGAACAATTTTGTTGTATGTCTAAATTAAAATTTATTAATAATTTATATGTCATAAACTTTAAATTGCAATATTTTTAATGGAAATATCAATTCAATTATTAATAAACTTATCGACAATATAAGTAATAATATAAAACAGACTAAACTATAGTTTTAATATTGTTTTAATTTACTTTAATAAATTAATTGTAACAAAATTTATACTGATTTATTGTTATAAAAACAATATTATATTCAAATCCAAAAATTCTAAAAATCAAATTCAACAATATTATTATTATTTAACATGAGAATTAGAATTTAAATGAATTGCCCTATGCAAAAAAGCACTTCTCTGAATGTTTTATAGCAGTAACCCAAAAATATAAACACTATATAATGCATTGCTATATTAAAATGATTTTATTTTTAATTTACAGCTATGGAAGAATTAAGAAAAGTGCCCCTCTTGTATTTAACAATTCATATTATGCTTTACAGCAACAAAATTTAAACTTATGTCACTCTTCGCGTTTTCCCAAAATACTATTATATTTAATACGATATATTATATTATATTTTATATTATTACACAATAACAGTTTATACAAATTAATCTCTCTCTCTCTCTCTCTCTCTCTCTCTCTCTC